TTAAAATCTGATTTGAAATAAAAAGTATACAAATATAGGAGGAGAACAGCAATAATGCATCGAAAATCAGTTTCAAGTGAAATAAACTGGTAATGATGCATTGGGTCAGTGGTTTAGATGGAGGATTGTTCTCATTTTTCCTCTTTGAGTGGAGCCATAAAAGACGAGCAGCTCCTTGTGTTTCTGTCAGCTGCTGCATGGTGGCCGATCTGCAGCCGCTTACACCTAACTGCCTCCATGTGTTACTCTGACAGTAATTAAACAATAAAAATTCAGAAGTCAATTAGTGAACAGAGCTGTAGATTAAAGGAGCAGAGACAGCGCTGCTGAAGGGGGAGGAGCTGAGGGAGACGGATCTAGGCTTTGGACTTTTACTTAAACCTACAGATTCAGGCTGGACAAGATCCTGAATCTATAGGTTCTTGTCAATCCCAAACCTATAACCGATCTGGATCTTTGACCTCTGAGAAACAAAACAAAAAGGAACAAACATTTTCTTATCTGAAAACAGAACGGAACTTTCCATATCAGAACATTTCAACTTTACAGGCTGGTCCAAAGAGCAGTGCGGTTCCTTCAGTAAACAATGACCTGTTCAAGTGGAGGAAAGAACTGCTTAATCTCAGGGAGCTCCTTGAGGGATTTAGGCGCCCACTCTGGAAAATGTCTGACAAGAAAACAGCATGCCGAGGATAGATAAGCAGAACATCACAGAAATTCAAAGCAGCTCAGAACTGGGTCACAAAAAAGACCCTAGCAACAGAATAGAAGTTTACCTCCAAAGGATCGGGCAGGAAAACATCTCAGAATCAAATTAACCTAAAAGAACTACCAGAAATTTTACTGGGATGTCAACAAAGAAACCCCCCAAATTCCTTTTACACACAGCATTAGGTTTGGTACTGATTTGATGTCATTCAGGTCCACTTTGGTACTACTACAACTATTCCTGTCCATTGGATCTTTTCCCAAGGAAAGAACAAATTCTGATCTGACTGGACCATCCTGGTTTTATCTCTCTTCCTTTCCTGTCATCTGACTCTGACTTCATCATCTAAGTTTCCCTCCTCTGGTGTCTCCTGGGCCCCGAACCTTAGGTGCAGCTGCAGGCGGAGCGAGGAGCCGCTGTGGGGATGCAGCAGGTCGAAATTAATGAGGGAGCCTGGAGGTATTGACTTTCCTGGGAAAACACAGCTCTCTGAAAATCAGCGGCCAAGCGCTGCAATAACTTAGCACCCATCGATCCCACAACCTCCCGTCTCCTCACCCGTCCTCCCCCATCGGGCCTCATCGATCTGTGCTAGAACAAGCTCCAAGGCGCTGGCGTCGACCCGGCAGCTCTGGCTGACCCGTTGCACATCAACTGGGAGACTGGGAATTGGGGTCTACACACACACCATTTAGTACCGTGGAATACGACGTAGTACTTCTATCAGGATCATAATCCTCTTTGATACACGATACTGCACTGCAGAAAAACCCTGAAAACTCCATGTGGAAACATCCTAATTTATGGATCGCAAGAGCGCTCATTTGGGTATCGAACCTTCTTTGTTACCAAGCAACAACCAGTCTGTTGATCTGCTGTCCATAATTGGTCTAAACAGCTTGGCACAGCGAGAGGAAGCTTGTTTTTTTTTGCCTGGGAATGTGGATAAACCCAGCGTAACGACTGAGAGTTGTAGATGATGAGCAGAAAGCTGTAGGATGAATCCGTTTAGCTTCATCTCTTCTCTCAGGCTTCTTGTCATTCTCCGGAGCACTTCTCGCCTTCGGCCAGTTTCTCAGAGTGAAGCTGCGGGATCAAATCCTCAAGCTGCTTTAAGCCACGGGGAGGAAGAGAGTCGGGAATGTGGGAAACACTCGGATCTCACTGCTCATCACCTCCAGCTGCACCTGAGAGGCTGCTGAAGGAGGAGGGAGAAGGAAACACTGCTTATCTGTGCATGGATTTTACACATAATGCGGATTCCTGGCATCTGATGGAAGACCATGTGGTCATCTTTGGACTGTGGGAACCCAGTAGATCTTTCGTTATCAATTTGATTGAAACGTTAACGAGCAAGAGCTCCATCCACCCGGGGTATAACGAAAACTCTGATCAGGAACATCTGATCATTTCCAAGGAGCCTACCTCCTCTAAGATCAGCCTGAAAGTCATGAAGAACCTCTGAAGCCACGTAAAAAGTCCTCTTGAGGCCTCATATATCTTCTAAGGAAGCCATAATCCTGCAGGTACACCATTTAGAAGACACATCTGAGGCCTGGAGCTGTGTGTTGGGGACTCAAGTCAAATGATGGAGAACTGGATGTGAAGATAGGATGTGGTCTCTAGACCCAGTCAAAATCTGAGGGATCATTCCAGTTCACATGTACATAAAGCTAGTGAATTTAAGTGAATGACTACATTTTGAAGACCAGCCAGGGAACCTGAATTCAGAACTCCCATTGAGAAGCCAAAGTCCTAGAAACCTGTAGAACTACTTGCATTTACAGGCAGAGCTAATTTGCAGTTCTTATACTTTTGCTATCTGTTTTTTTCAACTTTAAGCAGGTAGCAAATACATTTCTATGGCAACAGCTGATGGAGAAGTGGACAGAAAAAAAAGGTGAGTTGTTACATCGCCTGTCTGGTAGATGATGATGTTTGATAACGTCTGAACGTTAAGCACTTAGTATGACAGAGACGGAGAGAGTAGGACCGACACCTCGACTAGTTTTAGGAGCCCTTCAACACCAAACTGTCTGCCACAAATCTACTGTGACCTTTCTATGCTTATCGATTGAAGAAAAATGAATTTCCTCATATTCTATTGTTTTAGAAAGCTCTTGTTAACCTTTTACTTTTTTTCAAGACCATACAAATAAGACAATGGTATTTTATTTTCTTGTGACTCTATTTTTCCTGGTCTTGATAGGTTGTTGAAGCCTCACCAGGAAAACATTGAGGTTCACTTCAAGAACTAAATATCCAGGTTTAAAACTCATCCTGTGTTCTCCAACCTTGTGAGAACAGACCCCAAGACCCTCTGGAAGAACGCCCAGAAGATCACCTTGAAATTTATCAGACTGATTTAAAACAGGGTCTGGAAATCTTATAGAATGAACTTTTTTCCATCAAAGTCTTTGTTCCTTCTTCTTTTAGGTGGTTTCAGTACCCTGGGAGGTTAGATTCCTGAAACAGGACGATTTGCAACAAGATAAGAAATAAATGTATTTCAGGGTTTACTGTACTAATTATACATTCATTTCTGACTGTGGAAGTTTTTTCGATTTAGTTTTTGTCGTGATTTTATTTATTTTATTTTGTCAGTTAGATTGTAACACAGAAAGAAAGAAATGTTCTGTTCCATCCTGGATGTTTCAGATTTGGCTCCAAACTGATGTGAACGCCATGTTTAACCCGTTTGACAGGTTGCTAAGAAGCAAGCAATCCTCCAGCAGCAGCAGCTCTATTCAAACCTCTCAGTTCCGTCTTTCTATCTGGGACAAGGATCACAGATTAGCATTGCAAAAGGAGGCGGACGGTGCGTCCATTGTGACCGTCCATCTTTGTGAGCCGTCGGAGGAGGCGGCGCTTCGACAGAGATGATAAACGGTGTTAAACAGACATCCAAACACGCTCCCCTCCATCGTGGCCTGACGCGTTGACATTTACTTATCGCACCAAACAGCCCTCCATCTGACCTTTCTGCTACTTTGAATGACATCTGGATCTTCTGAGGGAATAATCGGAGGCAGGAACAGCTCCGATCTGAGAGGAAGATACGGCTGACAATGAGTCTGAAGGGCGAGGGTAGAAAAGAGGGAAGAAACTCTGGGGAACATGTTTACTGAAGCCAACAACCTCAGAACTTAAACCAGGGAGGAGGTCTAGAACTTCCAAAATACAGCAGACACCAGAAGGAAGAGAAGCTGGAGGCCTCGGGTGGAACCCAGGAATGAAAACCAGAGAGGAGTTCAGAAGATCTGCAGCTTAATCAACATCCAGCCTCCAGCTGTTGGAGAAGATTCACCTCTATGTGCTATCTGAGGTCTTCTCCATCTGTTGGCTACTCTGAGTTTCTCGGTTACTCTTTAGTTTCCGCTCTGGACAGATGTCCCACAACATTGCATCAGGAAACAACTAAACATTCAGCTACACTCAATTCAGTTCAATTCCATTCATTTTATTTACATAGCACCCATTAACCACACATGTCAAAGGACTTTACAGAGACAATTCAACCAGATCATAAAGTCAAACTGCTTCAAAGTTTTCTATCTAAGGAAAACCAGTTGATTGCATCGACTCATTGACTCGAAAGGCCCAGAATAGTATTGGGCGCTTGAGAGCTGAGCAAAATGTTTATTAGGAACCCTGAACATTAGGTTATTCAGAAACGCTATTTCTTTCCAGTAGAACTTCACTTCAAAAAGACATCTAATGTGTCTCTCTGAGGTCAGATCTTCTTGAGTCAAACAGGCCTTAGGGTCAGATCCACACAGCCCAAACAGGCCGCTTTAAACCTTTTTAAGGTCAGAATTAAAATAATCAGATGAAATCAGAAAATGCACTCTTTACATTTCTACTGACCCTCAACACAGTCTTACAGTTTCATCACCTGAGATCTCTTCACTTGCCCATGTAAATTCTCAGTCAGCTGGGTCATAGCAACCACAAAACAGGCTTTAATTGGGAGGTAAGCAGACCTTAGATCAGTTTTTGAAAACATTTTGACACCTATGTTTTTATTACCGGTAATTCAGTAGCTGATGTACTTAAGCATATTGTAAGTAAAATTAAAATGAAATAGCCACCTATTGTTTTTCTAGATTGTTGGAGGCTTTTGTTGTGCATGGGCTATGTGATTGGCCTTTTGAATCATGGTGGGAGTGCGTCTGTTATTTATGGAATGAGTTCAATGACTGAATTGTAGATGCTCGGAAGCTGAAACCGTTATCAGCTTCGTCACATGAATGGTTGTGCTCCAGTTAGCAGCTTACTGAAGACAGCTTACCTGTGTAAACGAAGCGTCCTGGTGCTCCTTTGCAGAACTGTTTGGACTTATAGGACAGTGTGACCTCCACAACACCAGGGATGTGCCGAGGGGGAGTCTGAACCCGGATGGCGTGGGGTGTGATCAGCTGCAGAAAGAAAAGAAGTATAGATGTTTAGAGCAGCTGTAACCGACCCTTTATCGTCAGACATTTTCTTTATAAACAATGCAGAGCAGCAACAATTCAAGAGAAATATAGAATGTTCCCAAAGAGAAAAAAATAAATATAGCTGGTGGTGACGCTCAGGTGAGATGGGTTCTGGTTTCACATTGTTCCACTTTTAAGGTCGTTAACATTTCATCCATATCAAGCGGATGTTCCTTCTCTATTATGTTGGGTTTATGGTGTCTGGTTCATGTCTGTCTAAGATCAGAACTTCATAAGCTTTTTTTTTAACATTTTATAGGATAATTGAGTTAATAATAGAAAGTGGACATAACTAAAAAACTTTGTCTTCCTTATTAGAACCATGCGTCAGTGCGCAGCTTTCAGCACCATAGCTCATGGACCCAAATGTTCAGCACTAACCACTAAAATCCTATCATAAAACCTGTTTTGGATTACAGAACCTTTATATCATTTTTTAAAGCCCTAGATAAATGGACCACCCAGCTGAAAGCTTCACGTTCCGCCTTCAGCTCATTTGAAGCTGTTAGGGAGCAGAATCACATTGATGTTCTGCATGTTGTTCCGTCTTTGAAATGTTGGACACTTTTTTAGCAGATCATGTAGATCTTCTGGAGTTCTGGTCAGGTAGAACTTGAGATGTTAAAAAAAGCAAACTTGTACCAGATAGGAAAATAGTTAAGTATGAACACCTTCCTTCAATCTGCTGGATGAACATCTGGAGCTGAGCAGAGAGAGACAACCCATCAGACGGTATCGCTCCTTCAGCCCTCCAGCAGGAGATTCTTCTCCCATCCAATCTGGGTAAACATGCGCTGCAGCCTTGTGTCAGGCTTCAGAGAATGTGCGCTCGCCGCCTGACGACGGTGATCAAAGCAAACGGCTCCGTCAGCTGTGTGTGATGTGATGATTTGGGGCCAAACATTGTGCGAAGGTAGATCTTAGCTCCTTCCCCCACCAGGTGTTCCGCTCTTCTGGACCAGCTTCAATATTTCATGCAGAGCTGTATGCGCAGCACCTCCTGCAGCTCAGCCTATTTCATATCTGCATATTTTTTCGTGGATGTGCAGATGCAGGTGATGACAATCATAAGACTTCTTAACCTTTCTTCTGGTTGATTAAAATATCTGTTTTATTCTTGAAATCATGAAACTGTTAAAGCTGATATTGATCCATGCGGAGCTCCATGACAGTTTCACCTTTTTTTGGTAAACTTGGCATTGAAAGCCTATAAAATATTTAGTAGATAGCTGGGGGCCTGTTTCAGCAGCTCCTGTATTTTATTCCTACTGTCTTTAGACTAGTTTTGAATAAATCTAAACTCTTCCATATGTCAATTTGCTGCTGAGACACCTGAACCCACCCACCGCAGTTGAGGAGATTTCAGTTCTGTTTTATTATTTTTATTTCAATCAGTCCCACAAAATCAAAAACATATTTATCTTCTTTGAATTAAAATCATCCTTTTAAACTCTTCTTTGTTTTCTAAACAGCCAAAATTTAATATGAGTTTTTAATACAGTAGAATCCCAGTTACACTGAGCATAGTTAGGACTGTTTCCATGTATCCCGCTGATACTGATGCCGTTCTTGCCTGGAATTTGAACGGATTTGTGGGACAGTTCAATATGACTCAACAGACAGTTCTAGAAATACAGAAACCTCTAGAGAAAAAAAACCCACAAAGACAGAGAGCATGCCGCAGAAATCATGCAACATACGGAGACATTGGGACAGGAATCTGACCTCGCTCCAGACCAGCATTGTGCCGAAGACAACCTGCAGGCCGTCAAAGAAGTTGTCTCCGATGAGGATGACCGTGGCGCCGCCGGTGGTCCAGCCTTCACTCGGACTGATGGCTTTGATGCAGGGAGTGGCTGCTTCGAAACACACAGAGACAGTAGCAGCATAAGCGACTGCTACACATTCAAATTCATACGGGCATTGGAACATTTGAAGTTGTGGGACAGCACTTTATAATCTGACTGCTTAAAACTTTAGCCAGAATTAGCAGAAACATTGTTCTGGTCCACAGAGACTCAGTTACTAACACATGCAAAAAGATTGTTTTTTCCAGATCAATATCAGCTGCTCCACATAAACAGGTCTGGGCAGACGGACGAACCAGCAGCTACAAGGAAGCGGGATATTTCTCTGTAGCTTTATGGCCGTTTTCCCGGAACAATACATTTTATTGGGAGGATGATCCCGACGTTCCGGTCAAAGCTCCATGAGAAGTGATCTATAAAGCTGCAGTCAGAGGCTCCAACTCTCAGTGGTTTTAATGGAGAGACGTGTTTCTAATGGAGGACGTTATAGAAAAACTGGAGTTTAATTAAGTTTTCCAGCTTTGCAGAAGCTAAGACCATTCAGAACCATGAGAGGCCAGCAGCAAACACATATTTCCCAGCTCTAAGAACATGTTCTTTCGAATGTTCCTGTTACCAAACTACACTATTAATGTTATCAAGATTAAAGATGGAGAAAAAAGTTTTAATTCAGGGGACTTTAAAAGGCCCCAAACTCCAGGGTCCTTGTTGGGGATCAAAACAAATGTCGCAGCTGCTGCAGAGAGGAGTAGCGGACTGCCACCTCCTCACTCAGTCCTGCTGCTTTTGTTGGAGCTGTAAACAAAAAGCCCCCGAGGGGAGGGGGGTTATCTGTGAGCGCCTGCAGACAAAGCCAGGAGCAGATGTTGGAGCTTTTATCGCTTCTGAAAACATCCCAGTCTGGAAGACATGAAAGACCCTGGGCTTCCTGCAGATACAGCTCTGGAGTGTAAACAATGGGCCCCGTTTGGCCCCTGCAGGACACTATGGGCATCAGCCAGTGCTCTCAGGGCTGAACACTCAGCTCCTGAATGCTAAGCAGGCAGTTTGATGTAGTTCCTGAACACCTCACAGGTGACAACCACCATGGAGTAGATCTCTGACAGATTAGTGTCAAGGAGTGTTTGGTTTAGAAGCATAGTAGTGCCAGACGTTGGGGGACAGATACCATATGCTAAAAGGAAGGTTGATTCCACCTAACTGGAGCTGCAGGTGGGTTAAACCAAATAAGAGGGCGACTTCAGAGACTTCAGCTGTTGACAGACCCAGTTAAACTTTGCCGCTAGAAGATTTCTGATCAGCAGTCAGGAACAGATATAGGAGTCTAAACTCTATAACTTCACTCTAATCTCAGGTTAATGTGCAGAGATTGGCTACAATATACTTCTTCAGCCCAAACTGACTTCAGCTCAGGTAAAAAGGTCCTGTCACAGAACGGAGGGTTGAAGTTGAGACAACAGGTCATGAGGCTGTTATAAAGCTGCAAGGGGGATATATATGATAGAGAAAATGGCTGCTGCTATCCAGTCTTCTGGTTATCATCATCCCGAGTCCTTCTAATCTCAAAATCCATTTGATCAGAAAAAACGGATGCCGATAACAACATCAATACATAAGATTAATTTGTAAGATGGTGACACAGAACTTCACTCTGGGATATGATTTAAAACCACATGCCCTGTGATCTTACTGGGTAGGACTATGATGTTCAAGGACAAAGTATTGTATAATCAGGGCTCTGATTTACTCTTGCTGACTAGGTTGAAGTTTTAAGAACAGAGGATGCTATTATGAAGAACTAGCCATCTGCTAAAAATCTATGGGCTCTGTGCTTTTGAATTAGTCAACTGGAGCAGTAGGATGGTGTATTTTACTGCATGTCTCAGAGGGGTGGTGTTAACGTCAGAGACCTGTATAATGGTCTGCAGAAGGATGTAAATAGAAGACAGTCGGTAAGTTAGGTTCAAGAACAGTTTAACTCCATCAGGTTTAAGGATCATATAAATTACAGAATATTTGACAGACTCCTCCCAGCTGATGTGTTGTAGTTTGCTCAAATCAACTTCACCTTTAGCGGGAGGAACCAAAAACTCTCAAAGGGAGTTTTTTTGTTTTCTTTTTTTCTAGGCTGAATGAGCGAGACTGTTCAAACAAAGCCAATTTTGAGAAAGCTCCACTCTGATGGCTCCAGGTCAAATCAAATTTTACAGGTTTCAGGATGAGGAAAAGGGGTTTTCAATTTTTATCCTTCAGAGAAAAGATTGCAGCAAAGCTTCAGGAGTCAGTGTCAAGTTTCAGCATGCAAACATAGTTCAACACTGGGTTTTATTAGGATGGTTTGGACCCTGAAAGAAGGGAGCATTTAGTTCTGCATGAGAATCAAGTTTGGGGTCAAGATGATCAGAACCTAGAATCAGAACATCAGAGAAGTTTGAGCAGACATAAGGTTTTTCTGGACCTCAGAATCTCTGATGGCTTACCTTCAGAGGGGTCCAGACGTCGTGCCCGGCGGCCATGTTTGGAGTTGTTATGGACGAACATGTTGTCTGAGACGGCCAGCACATGACCGTCCACATTGACTGTAGTAGACACCACCACCTGATGGAACAACAGCACAGTTAGACTGAAGAGGTGGGGCTTAATGGACAAAGATTTCTCCTGAACAAATCAGGCGAGGGTCTCACCTGGAACCGCCTCATGTCCCTTGGATTTCCAGCATTTTTCAAACAGTTCTGGTTGCACTTCAAGAAGAACTTCAGGAAGAATCTGAAATAAATCATACAAACATTTAGAAAATTTGTTTAGAGATCAGGTTTGGTTTTCATTCAGGTGGTCCAAAATTAAAACAGGTTCTTTATGAAAGGTGCTGATGTTTACTAAAACGAACTAATCAAGCAACAGAATAAAGAGCATATCATAGAACTAAGTTAGAGAAACATATTTCTTATCCGAGTTCCTTTAAGATAAACCGATCCGTTTGAAATCATGTCAGAACCGTTGAAATTTCTGGCAGAGCTGGTAGCTGGGTCACCAGTGGGCCTTTATGACTGTGTCATCAGGCAGTGACCGAAGCATCCGTCAGTAACCAAGTGTCTTCCTATCAGATGGTGGTGATGAGTCACCATGTGTCTACTGACTCTCTGTCCTGATTGGCTGTTGGGCTTTACTCTAACTGCCTAATTCTACAGTGCTAGAGTCATTTCCATCCCCATGGACTGCATGTTGATCATACTGAGTTTGAATCTTATGGACTGTTTAATGTTAAATTATAACTGGGTTATGTCATTCCAATTCCGCTCCCTGTCAGATTCTGTCAGGGAGTGACCACTCCTTCCCATCCTTACTGATCGTCTCTTTATCTCTCTGCTGATGATGTTATCATTGTCTGGCGGCGTCTGAAAGATGGCCGACTCCTCCTGCAGACCGATAGCACCTCATTAAGAGCCTCCTTCAGCTGATTTACACCCGGGGTTCAAGGCAGCAGAAAAGCATTGATTGTGAATAGATATCAGTGAGGATGAGGGGTAATAACAGCGGGGTGGAGGGGGTATCGGAATGGATGGCTAACTTAATGCATTTCCCAATGCCGTGTGATCTTTACTCATCCATCTCCTCTTCCTGTTCTCCTTTGGAGCGCTTCCCTTTTAATTGCCACATTATCACAATAATAATCCGGGCAGTTAACAAGCAGCAAGGTCGAGACAGACATGTCACATTAACCAGGGGATAACCTCAGGAAAACTCCTCCTCCTGGATCTGCAGCTGGAGCGAGGCATGCTGCATGGATAAAGGAGGAGGAGGATCACCATTGATTTCCTTATCAATCTGAGAAAAACAATATCTTTAAATCTACTATTATCTTTATACTTTGCACTAAATACTATTTTAGTGTTCAGCAAAGAGGGAGATTTTAGATAAGTTATTTTTAGGTGGGTCAACAAGGTCACCGTTTGAAATTCCAGGGTTTAAAGGGACTTTTATTTACTTTGATTTAAGGAAACCTTCTTCCCTGGAATATTTTTTTAATAGCTAGTGTGTCTTGTCTAGAAGAGATAGGTACTGCCCCCTGGTGAATTGATGGATTGATGTACTGACAGACGTAGAGATAAATGGATGGATATTGATGACCTATTTTTTTCTTCAAGGTACAATGGAGGAATCAAACTTTTAAAAAAGACCCGCCCTCTCAACTTAAAAAAAAAAAAGAAAATGCACATGCACAACCCTGTACCCATTGCCGAGAGGGAACGCCTCCTGCAAGAGGATGCATGAGCCCATTTCTCCTTGTGCACGCTGTGTTTAAAAGTTGCTGTTTGCATCGCTCATACAAGCTTACTTTCCAAGATAAATTTTGCAGTTTTCTCACTGTACTGTATGTCAGACTCACCACCGGTAAGTGAAAATCGGGACGCGCATGTAGGATGGCCTTAAGTAAATATATTACCAGACTGATTGACAATTAGGCGGACCATTTATTTAAATGATGCACCCAGAAAAAGAACATCCTCCACTTGACCTTTAAGATCTGATAGCAAAGCATAAGATTCTCTGAAACCCTCAAGGAGAAAAATTACTTTACTCAGGTGAGAAAAAAACTGATTTAGTTTATTATCAACCAGTTCAGTCCTTTTACCTGAGTCAGTTTTACTAGTTTCATCCATAGAGTAAATAAATAATTCAGCAAAGCTTAGAACATTGCAGATTTAAGACAAGAAATGCAGGATAATGAACATTACAGTTCCTCCTAAATCAGGGTTTACCAATCTTTTTTACATGAAAGTTTTCACATCTCCCTTCAACCAATCTTTTTGAGAGATGACAAAAGAAACAGCAGTGACTACATTCCAACAGCAGATTACATTACAGTAACTGCTAAGTTGAGCTCATTTATTTTAGTGTACAAAAGAATTTTAAAATTTCAAGTCAAAATAAAATTTTTATTTAATCTCAGGGCAAATAACCTGATGAATCACACCTTTCTTTTATTCTTGGGCCACACTAATGCAAACACTCCAGGCCAAAAAGTGGTGGTAATGACCCTTAATCTCGATGTTATCCAAGAAGAAGATTAGCAGAATGTATCAAGTTGTGCATCCTTTTGACAAGTGGGAATACATTGAAATCCAGACATGTTACTGAGAGCAGGATCAGTACATAGGTTAGCTTACAACAAACCTAAAGTTCTGGTTATCACCTTTGCTTTACAAACTTTTTTTTTAGATGTATGTCTCATTCATTAAATACAAAACCTTGTAATACTAAGATTAATTTTCCCAAGATGCAGTAATGATTTCACAGATCCAGTGTCTGGCTGGAAAGATCTGGTCCTTTTTTTCAAGTTCATGCATGTCTAAGAAACTAGAAGGTAGGATGAGGATCAGACATATATCAGTCCTGAATGTTTTGAATCCTTTCAAGAAGGCTTGATCTCACTGTGTGTTTCTAACAAATTGGGTGAACTGAGCCTTTGTAGAGAGGTCAGTGGAGCAGGGTGTTTGTGCGTGTGGGTGTGTGTGTGTGTATTGACTGAAAGCTGATCTGCTGCTCTGGAGGCTCTAATGCCCTTTATGGCAGTGAACAGAATAATACGGGAGCTCCATTCAGATGATACTGAGTCCTTCAGAGAGCTGATATGGATCAATACAGACTGAATTAAAACGCAGCTGGAGACAGGACCTGGGACACACACACACACAACCCCACACACACAGAAATACAAGGCTCTGATTCTTCTAAATCTTGGAGTAAATAACGCTGGAAAAAAGAAGATTTTATGACCAAGAGAGTCAAACTCCTTTAGAAAGAGCTAAATCTCAAACATGCAGTTGCTCTTCTTCAACTGATCCCATTAAATGAAACTGGAGTCTGAGCTGCCGACTGGACAGAATGTGAATTAACCGTGTCTTTAGAAGGCGTTAAAGCAGAAAGATCTTCTGAGGTGGTTCAACTCGATGCTTGCTTTATGTTTTTATGGATTCTGGTTTCATTTATCCTCAATACCTCATCTGATCCATTTCAGTTTTTACTCAATAGACCATTTTATCTCGACTGAGATCATAATGTCACTGAATGTTTTTACCAACATTATGGTGCAGAACCCTAAAGAATTCTGATTTACATCTCAACATTTTCCTCTCTAACATATTGTCTTTGGAACTTTACTAACAGGATAGATCCATCCATCCATCCATCCATCCATCCATCCATCCATCCATCCATCCATCCATCCATCCATCCATCCATCCATCCATCCATCCAGGTGGGATTCATCCTGGACAGGTCATAACAAAGAGACACACAACCAAGAAGAAAACACATTCACACCTTTGGACAATTTAATTGTGAACCGTGGAAGCAAACCCACACATGAAAAGAGAAAATACGCAAACTTCATGCATAAAGAAAATTTCTGTTCAGGTTAATAAGGTATATTACTACATTCGTTACTCTCATTACATCTTCCACTACTTCTGCCTGTTTCTTCTAGCCAAACAAGTCAAAAAGATAAAGGGCAGGAATTTCAGTTTAATTCTAAACATCATTCTGGAAAAGCTCCCATCGAATTACCTTTAAAACAATGGCAAGCTTTTGTATCAATGCCAAGCAATTCAGTAATTAATATAAAATGTAATATGGTTATGCTTTTTTTTTTTGTCTTTTTGGGATGACAGTTTGAGGATAAGACTTGGTCTAGCTAATTTGGAGAAGACCACATACATTATATAAGAGTTGGACATTACAGACTTTTAGTCAAACATTACCTTTGGTGTCCTTCAGTAGAGTTAGGAAGTAATTTACATTCCCTAATCAATGGTTGCCCTGTGTTTTTGGAGTTATTTAAGTTTATCCAGAAATTCAGAACAGGAACATTTTCAAAGGAGTTTAATTTTCAACTGGTGTTCACTGCTGAACTATGTTTTGGATACCTAATCTACAAAAATACATTTGGGCAGCTTAAAAATATTTCATAAAAAAAAAAAAAAAAAAAAAAAAAAAGACTTCCTAAATATCATTGCAATTATATTATTCTAAAAAAGCTGTGTTAAATGTCCTTACACTCGTATTAGTAGTTGACTATTCCAAATGGAGCTGCATACTTATGACATGTGGCTAATTTAATTTATAAAAATAGTTTTATGCTTTGTTTAACGTAACAATAATTTCAGGAATTTAGGCCGGGTTTTAATGACATGTGCAGGTTAACATTGTTTTTAGACTGGAAACTGTAAGTGAACAATAGCACACCACCTGCCTTAACCAGTAAGCCTGTAGCCATGCTACATCAAACATGGCTACATACGTCAATTTAGCTGTTGTCACAAAGCCACAGCTAAGAAGCCACCAGATTATCAAACAGTTGTCATATATCCAGTAGCTCAGCGTTTGGGGCTGCTCACTAGCCCAGCAATTAGTCACCACTTTAGCTCTTTAAGCACATCCATTGTAAACCTATCTGTAAGGTTCCATTCAGTTTGTCTATCTAGCTATTTGAGCTAATGCCAAATGCTCTGTTGCTGTCACCCCAGCAGATAACAGCAGAAGAGATCACTCTTTCTACAGCACAGAGGAGCTAAGCTAAACTTCTGCTATGTCCTTTCTTGTAGACAGCCTCCAGTCTAGTCTACTGTCAATGAGAAACCTGTGGCATTAATGGTCCTCCACTTCTTCTCCCATGATGGAAATAGTGTTTGACCTGTTCCTGTCTCTCCTGAAGTACATCATAATCTCTTCTGTTTATAACATTCAGGATTTGAGGATTGTTTTC